AGATTCCGGCGCTGCCGCGCGGGGTTTGCCACCTACGGTTATTCAGATGGATTTCTCCCGCTGTTATTGCTGGAGTTGGTTTAATTTAAGCCCCCTCCGGAGCCGGGGCGGGTTTGTCTCTGCTCCTGGCACCCGGGGATGCTCCACGCCGGGGTCGGGGGGTCCCGCAGTGGGGGCTCTGCCGTGGGGACATGGCGGTTTTGGGGACAGCGCAGGGAGCTGGTCACGGGTGGTGCTGTCCCTTCAGGGATGGGGAGGGTGGGCAGGGACCCCCCCATGGCATCAGCACCACCCACCCTGGGGACACTGTCACCACAGAAACTGCCGCTCATGCGGGGTGGGAGGGCTGGGGGATGTGATATGGCAGCCACCCAACCCACCCGGAGTGGGGGGCGCACGGTGCCCGCGGTCCCCCTGCCCGGCAGCACCCAAAATCCATGTGGCTGCTCTCCCCATGCACCCACCCATTGGTCACCCTGGTCTGGGCAGGGCAGCGTCCCCCAGCCACCCCCCGGCTCCATCTGGGACCCCCTGGGATCTGCCCTGCCCTTGGCTGGCTCCCAGGTGCCAGCTGTGCCAGGCTCTGCCCTCCAGGGCAGCCAGATCCTGCCAGGCAGCTTTGCTGCTTGGGGCACAGACCCAAAACTTGAAGGACTGTCTTGATTTGTTAAATGTAGCAGCTTTTGTTTGTTTTCTTCAAAGTGTTTTCCAAATATTGAGGTTTCTTCCAAGTGTTTTGCAAATATTTAGGGTTTAGCTTTTAAAAAATCTGTTCCCAGTTTGGCAGGCAGAGAAAAAGGGAATTTTTTGTTGCTTTTTGAAGCTTTGAAGGCATTGGGATCGCCTTGCTGCAAGGGGAACAGGGATCCTGGTCCCAAAGCTGGGAACAAGCTCTCTGCTCTCACAGAATTTAATTCATTTGGAGGCTGCAGCACTATTATTTTTTAATAAGAGCCATTGCCACGGCTGCTCAGGTCCCCAGTGTGCTCCTGCCTCTGCCTGGCATCGCTCCCCTTCCCACCCCTCCTGCCCCTGTGCCAATTAAAAATCCTGCCTGATTGCTGCCCTTCTGCCCTGCCAGCTCAGAGAGGCCGGGCAGGAACAAACCAGGAGCTCAGGGCTGGAAATGCCAGTGCTGTTCTGGAAGAGGGGCAGGGATGGAGGGTGAGGATGAGCAGGGAGGGTGAGGTTGGGTAGGATGCTCAGGGCTCCAGGAAAATGCCCTTTCCCAGGGGGAATGTGGCAATGGGACCGCGTGAAGACAGAGCTGAGGCAGATGCTTCCCTTGAGCTGCTTTTTTGGGGTTGAGCCCTCCATTGCAGCTTTTTTTCCCATCTGAAAAAGGGGTGAAAAGCTTTTTCCTTTGGGACCACGGGGAAGGCGAGGCCCATCCCCTGCTCGGGGAAGCTTCCAGCCCCACGTCGCCTTCGGCAGCTTTATAAAGATTCCCTGCCGAGATTACTTCTTTCATTTATTGCAAAATATTGTAGCGCCTTCGATGTGTAAAAATAAGGATTGTCCCATCTTATCTCAGAAGGAATGGGGGGGAGGGAGGGAGCAGCACTTGTCTCTCGTGCTGCTGTTAACCAGTGAGGTGCCGTGTCCTGCCACATTCCTGAGGAGTCCTTGCTCAGGGCTGTGGTGCTGCTGGTGCTGATCCCCAAATTGTTCCTTCTGTGCACCCAAGGGATGCTCCCCATCCCCTTCCAGAGCTGGGCAGCTGCCAGGCAGTGCAGTCTCATGGGAATTAAAGGCACAAATTACTGGTGCCTGTGCTCATCCTCCTCCAGGGAAGAGGGAACCCAGGCAGGGAGGTTGTTCCAGCATCACCTGGGGGTCACACGGGCACCTGGGCTGTGGGAGCAGAGTGGAGCTTCCTTCTGTGTGCTGAGTGTCCATCCTGCCCTGCCTGGTCTGGAGCATCCTTCCCAGTACCCAGCATCCTTCCTAGCAGTGAGGATCCACTCTGTCCTTCCTGGTTCTAAACATTCCTCCTGATCCTGAACATCCTTCCCAGGACTGAGCATCCTTCCTGGTCCTGAGCATCATTCCTCTCCTTCCTGCTCCTGGGCATCCTTCCTGGTGCCATTTTGATCCCACAGCTGCTTTAGCCAAGCAGACCCTTAGCTTAGCTTCCCTTCCCTCCTTTCTTTCCATCTTCCTTTATTTTCCTAGACCTCGTGGGCTGTGGCTGCAGCTGGGCATGGTGTGGGAGTCCCTGGGGACACCAGGGATCAGTGGAATGTAGGGGATGCAAGGCATGTGTGGGGGATGTGGGCGATGTGAGTGATGCCAGCAGCAGGTGGGCACATTTGAGGAGGTTTTGGGAGGGGTTTCTCCCACCTCTCCCACCCTTCCTGCAGACATCCCTGGTCCTTGTTGGACATTTTGCCTCATCCTGCTGCTCCAGGCACAGCAGGGCCAGAGCTCCCTGCTCCATAAACCAGAGGTTTATCCTGGACCGCAGCCCCAGAGGGGTTTAGGATTTACATCTGTGTCTGGGACCTGGGTTTGGTGGCCAATTTGCTAAAGTAAAAAGTTGTTTAGCTGGAGGCATAATCTCATAAGCCCATGCTGCCATTAGCTGGGGTCTCCTCGCTTCCTGGCTTTCCAATAATGCTCCAAGCAGAAGCTCAGAGTAATATAAAAAGCCATCGGATTATTACTGCGGGCGATGCATTTTCCATTTACAGTAATAAAATACTGAAGAAACAAAACAATTTAAAATTCCAATAAAATTCAAACCAAATCTTTGGCTGCTGAGCAGATTCAATTATTTAGCTGTTATTGAGTGCAGGCTGGAAAAATAGAGCAGGTCAGGGAGGGAAGGGGAGCTGGGGGGGTGCCAGACGCATCCCATGGGAATGCCAGTGAGGGAGGGAGCTGGGAGGGAGGCAGGGAAACATCTGGGAGGAGGGGCAGTGGCTGGGCTGGGTTTAGGGGTGGCAAGAGGTGGTGATGGCTGTGCTGGCATTCCCAGCCCTGCAGGTTGACTGCCGTGGCAGGCACAGTCTCTTCTCTTTCAGGATTTTTCATAGAGGAGCACAGAGGAAAGAAAGAGAAAACAATTTTCTATTTCTGCTCCTTGTTTTTCCCATGTGGAATGTGTTTGGAGAATTGTTTACCTGGGGTGAGTGCTTGGTTGGATTCTGGTGAGGTTTTGGTTATCCCCGTCAGGGAACCGTGGTGCTCGCAGGTGACGCCACCCCCTTCCCTCCCTCCTGCAGCAGCCCCTTGGTTTTTTAATATTTTTTCCTCAGAAAGGAGCATTTCCACAGAATGGGCTCATTAGGGATTCTGTGAGTGTCACCAGCTAATTAGTGTCATGTTAATTGAGTATTCACGATGCTGCCACCTCCAAGGACAGTGGTGCTGGCATGAAGGGGAATGCAGATGCGCGTGCTGTGCTGTTCTGTTCCGTGCCATGCCATTCCATGCTGTGCTGGGCAGAGGGGTCCCGTTCTCAGCCCCCTGCACCCACTGGCTTGCGGGGTGCCCATGCCCAGCAGAGCCCACCATGCCCCCCTCAGTGTGCCCTCACTGCCCTCTGGCTCTGCAGGAGCTTCCCAGAGGCCGGAGGCTCAGTGCTTGGGATGTCCTGGTGCCACACGTCCTCACGTGTCCTGCTGGAGGGAGCTGCTGGTGCTGTTCCTCCTGTGTTCCGACAGCTCCTCTAAATCCTCCTCAAAGGCGCTGGTTTTAATTGGCTTAATACACTCGTTAATAACAATGTCTATTTAAGACACCTGTAAAAAGCCCATAACATCAGCTTAATGGGAGCAATGGCTGGCACAGGCTGCGTCCTGCCTGGGCAATTACTGCCCTGATGGAGAGCATGGGGAGCAGCCACAGCCCCACTGCAGTGTCCCCCTGTGCTGCTGGGAGCAGGGGTGATGTGGAGAGTCACAGATCCCAGGGCATCCCTCCCACTGAATCCTGGTTTTAACCAATGCCTGGTTCATCCAGGTGTGTCACAGCCATGGGAATGTCACTCAGAGTGGGATTGGCACAGGCAATCCCCTCACAGGGAATGTGGAATGTACCCAGAGGTGCAGCTCTTCCGTGGTGACTTTGCCACCCAGGATGTGGTGGCATCAGGGAGCAGAGTGCTCCAGGTGCTGCTGGGGGGCTGAACTGCCTGGGGAGGGTGGGCCTCCCCAAACCCCCCAGTTTTTCCATCTCTCCCTTGCAAAACCTTCCTCTGGGCAGGCACCAGGTCTGGCATTCCCAGTGTGCTGTAGACATCCCTTAGCAGGGCTGGGAATTTTGGGAACCAACCATCATTCCCATGTGCCGACGTGTATGTGCATGTGCCCGGGTGCGTGTGTGTGTGTGTGTGAGAGTGTGTGTGGAGATTTTAAACACCTAATTTATTCCATCTATTAGATAGATTTTGTAGATTTAATCATTTTCACAGTTGGTGGCTCATTGGATACTCAAGATAAACTCCAAATGAAAGTATAATGGGAACGACAAATGAGTTTTCACACCAGAATGGCAGAAACTTGCTCAGGAAAGAGTTTGAAAGGAACAAAACTATATACATATATAATTTTTTTTCTGCAGTGGCTTTTGCTGACTCCAGTAGGTTACCACAGTTAATTTCACCAGTTTTGTTCATCTGTAAAATTGCATAAAAGTGACATTTTTGTGCTCATTATAGGAACTGCTGATTTATGGCTGGTAAATGCAATGCTTTTCCATTTTTGGTGAGGTTCTCGTAGCAGCGCAAAGCACCCATGAAATTGCTTGTATAATGTAGTTTAAATCCAATCTCAGAGAAAGATTCCCCCGTTGGGTAAAGTGACATTTCCATTCTCCACACCGAGTTTATTTTAGGCCACTTACAAGTGACTCCCATCAGCGGGAGGGGACAGCTCGGTGCCGTGACCTGGTTTCTGCCGGGAGCGGGTGGGATGGGGCCGGGGGAGGACGGTGCTGGGGTGCTGGGTCCCCTCATCCTGGTGGCACTGGATTCACCCCAAGCTTTGCTCCCGCAGGCGAGACGGCCCCCATGCATTCCCCGCGCTACCCCAGCCCCGCCGAGCTGGACGCCTACGCACAGAAGGTGGCCAACAGCCCGCTGACCATCAAGATCTTCCCCACCAACATCAGGGTCCCCCAGCACAAGCACCTTAACCGGACGGTGAACGGCTACGACACCACGGGGCAGCGGTACAGCCCCTACCCCCTGCACGCCGGCGGCTACCAGGGGCTGCTGGCCATTGTCAAAGCCTCCGGCAAAAGCGTGGTGAAGAACTCGGAGGGGAAGCGGACTAAGCTCTCGCCCGCCCAGGTGGGCGTCGCTCCCTACCCCGCCTCAAGCACTTTAGCTCAAGGTCCCTCCTGCGCCGCCGGGCAGCTGAGCTACCACGGTGGCCAGAAGCAGCTGGAGGGTCCCGTGCCCCCCAACGTGACGGTGGCGGCCTCGGTGCTGCCGCTGGCGGGCAGGAGCCTGGCCCTACCGCCCTCCAACCTGCCCTCCATCCAGAGCATCATCTACCAGATCAATCAGCAGTGCCAGGCGCAGGGTGCCCAGCCCGGCTGCCCGGCCGTCGTGGCCGCCCACCCCAGCCCGGCCAAGCACGGCGCCTTCGGCCCCGGCTACGGCGGCACCGTCCTGCCCGAGTGCCGCAAGGGCGCCGAGCTGGCGCTGGGCTCCAACCCGGCCGCCGCCCTGGGACCCAAGGCGGGCGTTTACCCCGAGGGCATGGACTACCTGGTGTGGCAGCAGAAGCAGCAGCAGCAGCACCTGCGAATGTACAGCGGGGGCAGCGGCGGCGGAGGGGCTCTCAGCAAGTCCCCCGAGACGTGCGCGGGCGCCTCGCGGCCCTACGGGCTGGGCGGCGCCGCCGACAAGGTGAGCTCGTCCCCCTTGAACTGCATGCACGGCAACTTCGCCGTGGGGCAGTACTTCGCTCCCCCCTGGAACAGCATCCTGGTGACCCCCAACAGCGACTGTTACAACCCGCCGGAGCTGGGGGCCGGCCCCCGTGAGCTGGGGGTGCCCCCGGCCGAGGGGCTGCCCAGCAAGACCCTCTGCAATACCTCCATCCTCAGCAGCAGCCTCCAGTCCCTGGAGTATCTCATCAACGACATCCACCCGCCCTGCATCAAGGAGCAGATGCTGGGCAAGGGCTACGAGACCGTGTCTGTGCCAAGGCTCTTGGACCACCAGCACGCCCACATCCGCCTGCCCGTCTACAGATAAGGGACCGATGCTGCTCTTCCCAAACCCAGGGCGAGGACTTTGGCGCCGGCCGCGGGTGCCGGACCGCGGCAGCGAGGGCGGGGGGACAGGGAGGGGGACGAAAGGGCTCCGGGGACGCCGGGGTCCCCAGACTGGACACACCCGCGACCCGCTGGAAGCCGAGGCCGAAGGACCGCTTTGTCTATATAGCTCAGAAATCATTTTATCTCCACGAATGTGAACAGGGAATTGCTACGAGTTGCTGCTATCCGGGGAGGGGAGGCTCTGCCGTGCCGGAGGTGCCCAGAGCGGGGCAGAGCCCGGTGGGGTCGCGGCCGGCCCGGAGGCTCCAGGGTGGCTCCGGGAGGCTCCGTGGTGGCCGGTGCTGACCTGGCAGCTGTCCAGGAGGTTCCACTGTGGCCTGTCCTGGCACGGCAGGGGCTGGGAGGCTCCGTGGTGGCCAGTGCCAGCCTAGTGGTGGCCGGTCCCAGCCCGGCGCGTGGCCGCAGGGAGCTGGCGCCTGACCTGTAGCTGAAGTCCGTAACTTGCACTGCTTTGATTAAAGCTAATAACTGGGGACAGTCTGGAGGCTATTTAAGAAAAACACTTGAAAACTTGAACAGATTTTTTTGGTTTTTTAATTTTATTTTTTTTTTTTTAGTTGACTAGGCTGTACATCTACGTGTTGGCTGCTACAGAGTCTCCTCCCACCCCTCTTCCTCCTCATCCTCGTCCCCTCACCCGGCCCCACAGTGGCCACGGCTCCCATAACCAGGAGATTTGGGACCCCCTCAGCCCCTCTCTCCTGGGAATCGCCGGCTCTCACACTTCCAGGCTGTTTTATTTCCCCCCTTACTGTCAGTTCTACCTTGGTTCTGGGTCGCGGTACTGGGGCGCTCACATACCTCCTTTTTTTTATTTGTTTGTTTTTTTTCTCTTTCTTTTTGAAAAAACAACCCCAAGAATTCCAAAATTCTCATTATGGTCCGTTATTCACTCTGTGTAATTCTGTGTTTAATAGATTTGTTCATTTACAAAAAGCTCCTCACCATGAAATACAAAGTGTTTTGATGTTTAAAGGTAAAAGAAGAATAATATCCCGATGAAACCCAAGGTGATTGTGCTCGGAAAAGAGGTACTGTATCCCTGAAAGCCTGTTCAAGCACTAAGTGCATTTACAAATCTCTGAGAATGTTTTTTTTTTATACTAAAATTGACCATTATATTCTACTGTGAGAAGTGCTGGCTGCACTATATTGTTTTAAAAATGAGAAAACAAAAAGAAAAAAAAAAAAGAAAAAAAAAAAACCAACACAAAACCCGCAAGCCGTGTGTCCGGATGGTGTTTTTCCCAAAGTAAAACCAGGATCTCGCTGGATGTGTGCTCTGGAGTTTCTTTGCTTTGCTGTGGCCTCCCCCAGAGCTGGGACACCCCCCCTGCTCCCAGAGATTTTTAGTGCACGGTGGAGCACCTATAAATAACCTGTTAACGATGCTGAGCCATTAATCCTGCCGCCACCAGTCTCTGCCTCACACCCAAGGGTGGCACATGGGACAAATCCCTGGGATTAGGGCTGTGGCCTCACGTGCACCCGGGGGACACCGTCCCTCGTGGGGCAGTGGGTGCCAGGGTCAGGCACCGTGTCCCCATCCTGTCACCAGCACAGGGGGTGACATCTCTGCAGCACCCATGACTCCTTTTTTCTTCTGGGTTTTCATTGCAGGGCCGTTCCTGGTGCCCAGGTGGGGTGGGGGCTCTCCAGCAGCCCTAAAGCTGATCCCACTGCTCTGCCCGGCAGCAGCAGCGAGTCAGTCACAGCAGGATAATGGGATTGAATCCCAAACTGCTCCTGGCTGTGGAAGCAGCTCCCCGGCCTCCGTGTCCCACGGTGGGACACATGGCGTGGCCTTACCCCAGCCACAGAGGGGACTGAGGGTGGCAGAGGCTCAGCTGCCTTCTGTGGATAACCAGGGGGGTACTGGGATGGGATGGGATGGGATAAGGATGGGGGCAGGACAGGGATGAAGATGAGGATGGGATGGGATGGGGACAGGAATGAAGACAGGATGAGGAGGGAATGGGATAAGGGTGGGGATGGGATGGGATTGGATGGGGTGAGATGGGATGAGGATGGGGGCAGGACAGGGATGAAGATGATGGGATGGGATGGGATGGGATGGGATGGGATGGGATGGGATGGGATGGGATGGGATGGGATGGGATGGGATGGGGACAAGGACAGGTATGGTGATGGGGACACAGCCACGTGCCTGGAGCTGCCCCGTGGCCGTGGCTGAGGCCAGGGCTGGCAGCTCCATTTGTCTGCCTTGCTCCCTCACCACAACTCCGCTGGTGTTTATGGCACGCCGGGAGGGGACCTCTCTGTCAGCCGATCCGGGGAACAAAGAGAAATTGGGACAAAAGGAAATTTTCACAGAGGTTAACATTACTGATGGGGGGGGTGCCACTGCCTGCCTGCGCGTTGAAATTATTCCGTCTGGAGGAAGATCTTTGCTCAGATCTTTGTCATTAAAAAGATGCCACATCAAAGGGATGTGAGGCTGGAGCTCGGCGGGGCTGCTGGAGGGTCCCTCTGTGCAGGGCAGCCCCTCCTTGGGGACCCCCACGCACCCAAGGGGGGCTCTACAAAGGCTGGGGTGCACGGAACCGTGCTGGGGCTCCAGGAGAAACTTTGCTCCGTCCGTGGTGCCCGTGGGAGGAGGATTCATTAGCGCTGCCTCCATCAGATTTCCCAGCTCGCCATAAATCAGGGCGAGTGGCTGGGAGCGACGGCACGATCCATCTTGCGGGTCTCCAAGTCATTACATTTCATTAGGAGGTGTGCGGGGGTTTTTATTATTTAGCAGGTTAATTCTCCCCTCAGATCGCTCCTTGGGAGGAGGATTTCGCTGGGCACGGGGAGCATTCAAGTGTGGAATGCAAAATAAATGGGTGCCTCCTTGGTGGGCACCTGCTGCAGTGCCAGCTCTGGCAGTGCAGGTGAGCAACGTGGGGACCCAAAATGTGCACAGACACTGGTGGGAGATGGGGCAGGGACACCTGAGGTACATCCCAGCACTGAGGATGAAGACACCACATCCCATTGCCCTCCCATTCTGTGGGGCATGGCACCCACAAGCACTGTGGGAACACACTGAAGGAAATGATGCTGCTTCTGGCCTACAAATATTCAAATTATACCAATAATAATAATACCAATAATAATACAAATTTCTAAGGCAGGTGTGCATGAGGCTGATATTAAACTTAGCGTCCGCCTTTGCTGTTTGGGAGCGAGGAGGAGAGACAGGCAGTATAAATTGCACGGCTGCAAAAGGACTTAAAAAAACCCATCTCTCATTTTGATTGATATTAGCTTCACAAATTAAGCTTTAGATTTATCTAAAAATAAATTTGCTTCCACGCTCCGCATTCTGGATGACAAGTGCTTTTCTCTTCCCTTTGTTGGGTTTGTCATCTCTGGCAGGGCGGCGCGGGGAGGGGCAGAGGGGCAGGAGGGGCCGAGCACCCCCTGTGCACCAGCCCCCAGGTGCCCCCATCACCACAGCTGGGGGTGAAACAGCTCCAGGCTCGGTGGGGCAGGGGCTAAAAGGGCCAAAATCACTCCCTGAAGGTGGCAGGGGCCTCCTGTGCTGGGGTGTCACCGTGGTGGCTGTGGTGTCCCTGTCCTCACAGAGCTGCCGCAGGGTGCAGAGTGGGCTTGGTGACAGCTGTCCTTCCCACACCCCAAATCCTTTCGAAGCTCACTGACGTGTGGCCTCTTGGCTTTGAGGCATCAAGAGCTGCACGGGAGGGGAGAAAATCGGTTTATGCCTCATTTTACTGGAAAATGCCATCTCTGGTGCTGCAGCCATGGTGCTGAGCCCATCTCTGGCTGAGCCCTGCTCCAGCCACCACACACGGCCTGGCCACGACTGCCCACTGTGGCCACCCCGTCGGGTGAAAGGCAAGTTTATTGTTTCCACCCAAGACCCAGCCTAGAAGCAGAGCAGCTCAGCTCCTCATTCGATTATGAAGCAGGAGCCGCCACCTCCGCCTCTCCCAAGGAGCGATAATGAAACATATTCATCCCTCACCCTGGGGAAATACTTAAACCACAATATGAGAGATGTATGTAAATCACATTTAAATGGAGATGGTGTTAACGCTGACGGCGACTCATCAAGTTGGAAAATGAGGTGCCCCCTCTGCTGCTAAAGCGTTTGCTGAGAGAGCAGGGCTGTCCCCAAGGCCCTGGCCAGGGTCTCTGTGTCACCGTGCCACGGGTGGCCACACAAAGCGCTCCCTCACACCCGCACAAGGTCCAGCTGTTAAAGGAACGCTCACCGCTGCAGGTGGCTGGGAGGGTGAGGAGGAAAGGAGTTACAGAGGGACGAGGATGGGAATGGGATGGAGATCCATGGGGGCGGGCTAGGGACGGGAGGGGATGGGGTGCGGATGTTTGGGGATGCGGAGAGCCGGTTTGCCTCGGGCCGGGAGTGGCCCCAGTCTCGGGAGCGGGGTCAGCCCGGGCCGGGCTCCCCGCGCCCGCCGGGGCCGGGCCCGCATCGCGCGGTGTGTGCTGCCCTCCGCCGGAGCGACCGTACACCGCATCCTGCACCGCATCCTGCACCGCATCCCTGCACCGCATCCTGCACCGCACCTGGGCATCGTAACCGTGCACCGCATCCTGCACCGCATCCTGCACCGCATCCTGCACCGCACCTGGGCATCGTAACCATGCACCGCATCCTGCACCGCATCCTGCACCGCATCCTGCACCGCACCTGGGCATCGTAACCATGCACCGCATCCTGCACCGCATCCCTGCACCGCATCCTGCACCGCATCCCTGCACTGCATCCTGCACCGCACCTGGGCATCGTAACCATGCGTCACATCTATGCATAGTAACTGTGTGTCTCACCTGGGCATCTGGGCATTGTAACCGTGCATCACACCTGGGCCTCATAACCATGTGTCACACCCGGGCATTGTAACTTGTGTCACACCTGTGCAT